TCATGCCTGTTCCACGAGTGGCCATTCACTGAACATAGGATGCCTCCCCTGCTCCTGCCCAAGGCTGTGTTTACCCTGACACCACCCCACGGTGTCTGAGGGGAAGTGTGCTTGCAGCACACTTATAGAAAAAAGTAGTGATAGCTTCCAGATGAGCTTATTATTCTAAATTTAACATTCCTTTTGGTACTTAGAATTTCCACTTTCTCCCTTCCACCCCGTTTGCACTTATGTAATTAGAATGCATGCAACAGGAAACCATTTGTGTCTCAGGACCATTTAGGCTGAAGGCTATCCCAGTCCCATAGAGTAACATCCTTGTGGAAATACTTTGCAGAGTTTATTTGGACAGGTTCAAAAATAGTCCTTCAACAATACAATCAGATTGAACCGCGACAAGTTAAATGCAATTATGGCTTGGTTACACTTTTTAAAAAAATGTAAGCAGTGAGGTTTGGGAAAACTAAAAGCAAAACGGCATGGTCATCTCCATTCCCAGCCCCTGCATTTCCTACAAGCAGTACTTCATGACTATATCTTTGGCTCTTTTGAAATGGACGAGAGGATGACACTCACTAAAGGAGACAGCTCAGCAGAGTGTGTTGAGGCCTTTTCTCAGAACAAAGGCATACTTCTGCATAAGGCAAATGCAGCCTGAGGAAGGCTCCCCTAGTGGGTACTTGGAATGCCAAAGTCATTCACCTAAATGAGTTCAAAATACATATTGTTCTGGGCCAAATTATACAGTGTCAAGCTCAGACTGTATGTATTTATATATGTTGGCAAAGCAGGCCACTCTTGGGGCGCCACAGCTTTATCCTAGTATTCCGTGCCCAGCTGGGTTCCCATACTCTCTCCCAAACCCATGAATTTCCTCGTATTTGGTTCCAGAAAAGCAGAGAAGCAGCACAAAGTTGCACAAGCCCACCAGGAAACAGGGCCCTGGAGGACTTGAATTTCTAAGGAAACTTAAGAGGATAGAAAGTGTGTCTTTGCCAACAAGCTGGGACTTTCTGAAGGTTGATTTGAGGCAGGGGCAGGGAGTGGGGACAAGATCAAGCGTGTACTTCGGGCCAGCCTCTGCTAAGGGCGACAGGCAGGAATACAAAGCACTCTGAAATGAAAGCAAACAGCCAGTCCCTTAGCTGGCCTTTGCCCAGAACTCTTCCCTCCCAGAGCTGACCAGTTTCTCAAAGCACGTAAGTGGTGCTTCGAAGGTACCAGACAAAGGGATCTTTCCCAATACATGCCTAACACCTAACAACTGATGAGTTAGGGAGGTTTGATTCCGACGTCCCGTTCCACTCCATAATTTTCTGACACGCCTGTCGAATTTGTGGGCACATTGTGTTTTCTGTCTGTTTTTTTTGGAAGGGGACCTGCTTATTCTTCTCGCTGCCTGAATGAAGATAGAACAACGATGGAAAGACTAGGGGAGGAAACACTAACTTCTAAAACAAACACAGAAGACAAGTGGACGAGAGCTACCACAGCACGGACAGGTATCTCGAGGCACTAGCATAGAAGGCATGGTACGGCTCAGAATCTTTCTCTTTTCAATACACAGGTTGCCTTGATGGCGGAATGAAGGTGGTCAAGCGAAAGGCAGCCAAGGGCAAGGTCAGCCATGGCCTTGACATCCAGTCCTGGGCTTGGCCCATCTTTGGGCTTTACGTGGTCCAAAGACATAGCAAGCTGGAAGGGCAAAGGAGTCTGGACAGCCTGCAAGGCAGGGCCTCCTCACCCTTCTGGGAAGAGGGAATGGAGGACTTGGGAAGGATCTGCTACCCTGAATCGACTCATCACAGCTTTCGGAAGAGCTCAGGCCTAGCCCTAGTTCCAGAATTGGGCTGAGACAGGAGTCCTGCCCCGGGCGCCCAGCCTCATCACTGCAGCTCCTCCCTGCCCCTGCACACTCAGGTTGTCCTGAGTGACTTGCAGGTTCCCAGCTGTAGGACACATTTCCAGGATTCTGAGTCGTCAAGGGAGCTGCCTGCCTTGTCCTCCTGCCTGGTCTACCTGAAACACCCCATCAACTTCAAGTCATCCTAAGGAGACCTGATTGCTCCTTCTCCATTGTTTGCACTGCATTTTGTCTACACCCTCCTCCCTGTGAATTCTCTTTCGGAGTTGTAGGCAGTTGCAGGTCTCTTTCCATCAGACTCTAAGTTTCTCGAAGCAGGGGTATCTTTTTATCCATTTTTCCCTGCTGCCTACACAGTGCCTAGCTCAGAGCAGATGTTCAATCAACACTCACAGGATAAGGGGGCAGGTGGGATCAAGCTCTGCCCACCTTAATTTTATTATAAAGAAAAATAAGATAAGAAAGCCCAAGCTTTGTGTTTCGGTATGTTTTCTGAAGAAATTTCTAAAATACTATTTTGCATCCCGCCTACCTGGTTCATGTGAAACCAACCACAGGAACAAACTCAAGCCTCAGCTGCTACATGAAAATCCATCCCACACAGGGCCTTCCACACCAGGGCTGAGGTTTGGGCCACGTCAAGCTCCAGGAAGCTGTAGTGGAGCAGGCCACCCACTGGTTTCATCCCATCACCCTGCCAGGTCCACAGGTGGGCACGCACAGAGCCACTACGGCAAGGACAGGTCCCTCGGGATGCTGGTCCTCTTCATCAGACCACACAATAGCCATCTTCAGCCTCCGATGGACACGGTGGAAGCAGTTCTGGAAACTCCATGTTGGGGCAAGCGGGGAAGAACGCACAGCACCAAGGTTCGGGCTCTCAGAGCGGCTGTGGCCAGGGTTCCAGCTGCTGTTCACACACAGTCCTCATGCTCAGACGCCAAAGGCAGAGAAACAGAGGCCATGCAATGGGCTTCCGATTTGTGTTTATTTCTTTTAAGACCACCTCCTTACAATTTCCAGAGAGAAAATACAAAACAAGAAACAGACTTGGTTTCAAATACATAAACAGTGTGCTGGAGTTGAAAGCGTACTGATAACATTGTTACAGAAGAATGGCAGCTCACTCCAGGGCACTTCAGTATTCCTGAGGAATAAACATGGTTTCTCTTTTCCTCCCACTGGGATGTTCTCAGGTGAAAGTCACTGCTCCTGCTCCTGTAAAGCCAGGACACTCAGGTTAGAACCGTGGGTGGCACGTTAGCAGCCCTTTCTAATTGCCCCAACAGGGCAGACTCAAAGAACCAATGAGGTCAAACACTGTCCTCACTGCTTGCGTTCAAACTGTCTCACCAGAGGACTATGTACCCCACTCAGGTTCCTAAGAGTGGCCTCCAACCTTAGAGGGAAGTGAGCAGGAAAGAAGTGGGCCAGGCCACAAGCACTGCCTGAGGGCTACTCCCATAGCTGTCTACAGGATCACAGGGGGAATGGGAAGGGCATGGTGCTAATCACTCGCGAATCTCTGATCTTTGGCAAGTTTCTCAACCCCAGCAAAATTCTGTTCCTCATCTGCTGAATGAGGTAACGACACCTCTCTCACAAATCCTCTGGCAGGTCCAGAGGGAAAGCAGCCAGGAAGGTCCACGGGACACACCAGGCCCTCAACCAGCAGCTCTCATAGCGTGACTCTTATAGTGTGACTATGTGGAACAAGTCCACTCTGGGATTCTGCTCCGCTTTTCAGAGAGGGGGGATGACACATCGAGGCACAGACTCAAGTTCAGATACAGTTACAAGGCCACTTTGGAGCAGTACACACCAGACTGTAAAAAATGTAACAATATTTTCCATAGCAACTCCCAGTCATTAAATATATAATATGCATCTAATCACCCCAGCTATTATCCCTGACAACTCAGTTGGAACAACAGAAACATTTCAAACAATTAACAGACCTGGGAGCTCTTCACTCTGCTTCTTTCTGTTTTCCCTCACACTCTGCTCTGGTGCCAGGCAAGTGAGGAGCTGGGGAGTGGGACAAGCGGCCCGTCATTGGCCTCTTCTGCATTGTCCCTCTGGTGACCTCACTCTTGCTCTGGCACAGAGATGGGTAAGTCTGCTCTCCCTGCCCCCATTCTCTCCCCAGCACACACGGGTTGGCTGTGGACAGGCGGCAGAGTGTGAGCAGGTTCTAAAGTGGCCATGGTGGGACACTGCTACTCAGGTCTGGTGGCTATTTGTACCATGTTCCGTACACCTGGCTATTACGGTGGGACAGTGGACAAGTCAGTCACCTGGTCTTGGTTGGCCTCACCTGTAATAACCAATGTTTCTATTTACATAAGACCTCACAGCTTAAAATTATTTTCACATTTAAACTTCACAACAACCCTATAGGTAGAAATTATCACCCTCATTTTGTGGATGGAAAACAGAAGCCCAGGAGTGAAAGGACTGAAGATCACACAGAAAGCAGGTGACGGGCATGCACCCAGACCGCCTCACTTCTGTGCTCCCTCCGCTAACCTCAGCTACTCATTCACAGGGATTCCAGGTCCAGGTAGCCTGGAAAGCAGAGGATTCTGTGAGTGCGGGAAATGTGAAACACTCCACTGAAGGGTGTACTGCCATAAGGGTTATGCCGAGTAAGCCTGAGACCATGAGCACTCACCTCTGACACAATCAAGAGTTTACTTCGTTTACTCATTTTACATTTATTTCAGTGCCTACTTTGTTTCAGGCCCTGGGGATATAAAAGTACCACCTCTGTCCCTGAGCACCCAGCCTCTCATGATCCATCACTTGACCCCATGGTCACCAATCATCTAAAGCAAGGAAAAGGAAAGGTTGCATGAAATCTTTAGGAAGCCTGCTGCCCTCTCTCCTTTTTAGGTGTATTATCTAGCTTGTTTGCAAAATTTAAAAATTCACCTGAAGACAAGGACTTCAGCAGAATCATGCAAGACTTAAGTCAAGACTATCTTCTTCAATTAAAAAGCAGAATAATGGTTGAGTCTCGCGGGTCTTTGGGCTTAGCTAAAGGACATGTGAGATGCTTACAGGGCACTCTGAGATCTAAACAGAAAGTGCTACTTACAGATAGTTAACACATCTACTTTACCACTGATGACAAATATTTAGGCGGGATTCCAATCAGCTAACATATAAGCATGTATCTGAATGCACACCTGCATCTGAAGGCCCAGGGGAGGGACTTTTAGCACCAAAGCAGTGTTGACATCACTGAAGGCCAAAGAGCAATCAGGATCTCAGTGGTGTCACAATAACATACACAGTTGATTCATTACATACACCCTAAAGAAATCTTCAGGGGCTCAGAAGGAAGCTCTTTTTCTTCTGAAAGAAAGAGAGAAATAAATTCTGTACATACTTTGACATATTTTCCATGTAGAAGATATGGAGCCTGGAAATCATGCTGACAGTTGGAGTAGGCCATTCCCAGGCCCAGGCCAGAACCAAAGGCCAGTGGCCACATTCTTCCTAGGGAGGAGAAAAAGGGAAAGCCCAATAGGTTAGAACCACTGAGAGAAGACAAAGCCCTCACTCTCCTAAATACATTTGTTCAGGGTTCAATCACTATCCAATGTTTACCATATTAATGACCATAATAAACCATACATTTTTGTCAATATTTCATCAATGGCCTCCCAAAAAGGGGAATAATTAGTAAGCTTATTCATTTAGCAAATGTATTAAGTGTGCTGCTAGATTGGAGGAAAATAAGTGGTACTTTCATAGAGCTCACATTTCTGAATAGGATATGCTCACAGCTCCAAGAATTTCTAGGACTGAATTATGAAACTTTTGGAAGGTATTTAATAGGTTTAGACAGAATGGAATACTCTCATATCTATATTTTACATAAATGTAATATGTTGTTTTAATGTATTAAGATGCAAGATTAAAAGCTACTTATAGTAGCATCCCGGAAAAAAATCAACCTATATTTTCACACTGTTTATGAAAGATTCAACACCACTGAATTTGTTAATTTGTATCTTTGATACAGAAAAGCTAAAGTTACTTTTAACATGGATGGAATTGGAGTATGGTATGTGAACAGCAAGTTAGTTTTCATTTGGTTTTCATACTAGAAACAAGTCAGTCTGATGAGATTCAAATATGTATGAACTGATATAAATAAAAAATGGTTTCTCACTTGTTTTAGTCAACCCCTGAATTATTACAGTTTAGGGGTAGAATTTATGTATTTAAAAGGTTCCATTGAGCTCTCCAAGTCTGAAGGACAGCTAATAGTTACCCAAATTAACAGAGTCTATCTATAAACTCAAACATTAAGTGGAAATTCAAATGTATTACAGTGGGGAATAAAGATCTTGAAATAAACATGTCTTAAATATTTATTTATAGCCAGGCTCGGTGGCTCAGCCTGTAATCCCAGCACTTTGGGAGGCCAAGGTGAGTGGATTGCCTGAGCCCACGGGTTTGAGACCCGCCTGGGCAACTTGGCGAGACCTCATCTCTACAAAAAAATCAAAAAATTAGCCGGGCGTGGTAGCGCGCGCCTGTAGTTCCAGCTCCTTGGAAGGCTGAGGTGGAAGGATCGCCAGAGCCCAGCAGGTCAAGGCTGCGGTGGCCAGGAGTGGCCACTGCACTCCAGTCTGGGTGAAAGAGTGAGACTCCAACTCGGAAAAAAAAGAAAAAAAGAAAAAGAAAATTTATTTACTGGTTATTCTGAGTGAATGTTGTCATGGTTCTAGCTTTTTATGACTACCTCTAATATGTATTCTTATTTTTTATTGCTTTTATAGGTCTGAATGTATCTTTTTTCATGTCATATAATATAAAGGCATTTAAAAGATCATTATCTTTTAATCTGTTTTAGAGACACTTATTGTTTAGCATATACTTTTGGAAAAATTAATTTTAAAAAAACAGGCCAGGTGTGGTGCTCACACCTATAATCCCAACACTTTGGGAGACTGAGGTGAGAGGACTGCCTAAGCTCACGTCTCCACAATAAATAAAAAACATAGCCAGGTGTGGTGGTATGTGCCTGTAGTTCCAGCTATTTGGAAGACTGAGGTGGAAGGATCACCTGAGCCCAGCAGGTCAAGGCTGCAGTGGCCATGAGCATGCCACTGCGCTCCAGCCTGAGACTCCAACTCAAAAAAAAAAAAAAACCTAAAAAAACCCTGAAAACAGTAGACACAGTTGAATCCTTTGATTTTTCTTTTCTTTTCTTTTTTTTTTTGAGTTGGAGTCTCACTCTGTTATCCAAACTGGAGTGCAGTGGCCGCTCCCGGCCACCGCAGCCACGACCTGCTGGGCTCCAGCGATCCTTCCACCTCAGCCTTCCAAGTAGCTGGAACTGCAGGCATGCACTACCATGCCCAGCTAATTTTTGACTTGTAGAGATGAGGTCTCATCAAGTTGCCCAGGTGGGTCTCGAACCCGCGGGCTCCAGCAATCCACTCACCTCGGTCTCCCAAAGTGCTGGGATTACAGGCTGAGCCACCGAGCCCGGCCTCCTTTGACTTTTCAATCAGCTCTAATCATCTGCCCAGTTTAATTTCTTAAGTTTATCAGAAGTAATAAGATCCTTTCAATGAGGTGTGTGAATTCTAAAAATATCTAAAAATTCCACCAATCTTTACATCCTTTGATTCTTTGATTACAATAAGTCATGGAGTTTACTTAAACAATCTGTAAATGATCATTTCACATCAGCACGATGAGTTTAATTATGGTTCTCTAGTTACATACGTCCCACCAGTTCTTCAGGGAAAGAGGTCAAAGTTACCCCTTTGGCTCCTGTTCAATATCCAAACTTCAGAAGTTCTTCCAGGATGAAGGACATTGCCTGCCCTTTGCTTAGGAGAACTTCTGACCAAAAAGTATGTGTATTTCTGGTCTACTTGTTTTTACTACCAGCAGGACTCTCATTTTCAAATTCCTCTAGAAAAAATTATAATTAATTAGAAATATGTGAACATGTAGACTTGGTCAGATCACTGGCATCAAGTACAGGCTTTTGCAGTGCTATCATATTTAGGATACCAGACACCCTGCTGCAGTGCCCAGGGGCATTCTGGAGATGCCCAATCCATTTTGATCTCGTTCAAGTCCACATTCTTTGTCTATCCCATTTTACAATGGCCCACCGAACCCCAGAAATGGATGGGTTGGCAGTCATCTTGCTGTGTCTTCCAGAAGTGTCCACTATGACACTGTGTTGAAAAAGGAGTAAGAGTCACACTTACTTTTAAAGAAGGTAAGTGAGAAAACAATTCCTAATCCAAAACCCGTACCTACAAAGAGAAAAAAGATGTTAATTCTCATAATAATAACTTGACAAACACAACATTAACACTTCACAAATGTAAACAGCATAAAACAGGCTATTTTTTCATAATTTGGTATAGAGCTGATTTTTTTCATTTCTAACCTACCTGCTTTCTCTCTTTTTTAGTTGTTAATTTATATTTTTAATGTTATATAGACGGGGTCTCACTATTTTGCTCAGGCTGGTCTTGAACTCCCAGCCTCAAGTGATCCCAAAGTGCTGGAATTACAAGCATGAACCACTGTACCCAGCTTCATATCTAACCTTCTTTCTTCCTGCCAGAAGCTTTATAGATGCCTTTGGTCCCTCTACCCTACAACAGGAAATAAAATTTTATTCCCTATCTGTCTAGACAAGTGTGGGATGCAGGGCAGGGGCAGGGAACGAGCCAAGAGACTGTTCTGAAGTCGACCCCCTCCATGCTGCTGGCGAGGACTTCTGGAACCCGAGGCCCTCCTGCCCACACCTTGCCAATAGGAAGCCCCCTTGTCATGTCAGCATTTTGAGTGATGGCTACGGTTTGAGGAGAGTGAAAAGCAGAGATCCAGAACAATTTCTACAGGCTTCACTGTCACACAGGTAGGTGGGAGACGCACACCCCAAGAGCTTCAGAGTGGAGACTCATCTCATTTTACTCATAAAACATTTAACTGCCTTCTTTCAAAATAAAGGACAAATGCAAGCCAATTTTAGTGAACTGGTAGAAAAAAATTAAATATCTAATTTTAAAGCAAATTTCACAGGAATCTAAGTTAGGAAAAAAGCAAAGTTCTGTTAAAAAAAAAAAATTCCAGGGTGTGGGTGGGGACACAACATCAATAAACGGTACCTGATCTCAAACCAGGCAAAGTGAGTACCAAAAGGAGGCCTAAATATTACCTGTACATTGTCCACTTGTATACCTAATCTTGAATTGTACCCCACATCTTTAAAAAAATAAAAATAAAAAATCCTCATTCTTATCAGTATTTCTCAAACTTTGGGTCACCCAGTGTCACCATCACAATTTCTGCTAAATCTACACATCATCTATACTATTATTTACTTAATCATTTTCTGTTAAAAAAATTAGTACATTTAGTAAATTTAGCCTCAACTTAAATAATATTGGTGTAATCATAGATTTGAGCATTTAACTATTTTTTTTTTACAAAGTATATTTAAAATATTTGTCTGTGGTACCACTTTTAAAAAAAAAAATTACATCCATACTGTAGTGATATGTGTCATAAACTTTGAGTTAAAACTACTCCTCTGTTATTTAAAAAAAAACAAAACAGTTATACACACCAAGGAAGAGGGTCAAGATCCAATTATTTTTAAAATGTTCAAGTCGGGCTCGGTGGCTCAGCCTGTAATCCCACGCCTTTGGGAGGCTGAGGTGAGTGGATTGCCTGAGCCCACGGGTTCGAGACCTGCCTGGGCAACTTGGCGAGACCTCGTCTCTACAATAAATCAAAAATCAGCCGGGCACGGTAGCGCACGCCTGTAGTTCCAGCTACTTGGAAGGCTGAGGCGGAAGGATCGCCAGAGCCCAGCAGGTGGAGATTGAGGTGGCCAGGAGCAGCTACTGCACTCCAGTCTGGGCGACAGAGTGAGACTCCAACTCAAAAAAATAAAAATTAAATAAATAAATAAAAATGTTCAGGCTTGACAGACAATGATTTTCAAAGGCCTTTCAGAGTCTTCTGATGCTCTTCGCTGAATGTCTGCTCCATGGTGCAACAAAGTCCCTGACCAAACTCTTTACAATTAAGCACCATGCGAAAGTCCCATTTCTAACTTGCCTTAATAGTTCTCAAATTGGTGCTGTTGAAATTCCAAGAATTTCTTCTCTAAGCATGATTTCAGACTGTGCAGTGTGAAAGTTCAAAGTACTCCTCAGTCAACCAAGGTGACCTTTCTGCTCCAAACACAGAAAACATCATGAACAAGCTAAGTTACATCTTTTGTGACCCCTGAAATTCTTGTTGTACCTATGCACAACCCAGTGGGTACTGGCTTAAAGAGCGTAGTTATGCTATTTACATAGAAAGATCTCTGACCATGCTCTCCATCACATACATGCGGCCATGATGTGTGTTTCACACATACATACCACTGTGTCCAACTTTAAAATTCAATGTCTGAGACTTACGTCATCCCAATTTCCATATAATTTAATAAAATGGTAGAAAACTAGTCAGTTCACATACCATAATCAAGGTACACATGATGAAAAGGTAAAGAAATAACATTTGAGTATTACCCACAAGTGCTCAACATTCTCTTTTAAATGAAACAATAACTTGATATGGTATTACCGCCATTTTTCCAGATGCAGAAAATAACTTACCAAGGACACTCTGTTTAGTTAGTTGAAGCACAGTGAACGGACTCGAGCCTGCCAGACTCCAATGTCACTGTTCCTACTATATCCAGACACTGGATTCCCCTACAATTTCTGCCCTTAAACAATCACTACCACCTCCCAAGAGTAATTGGAGTGTCAAGATTTCTACTGCCAGTGAAGTCAGATACAGTCAAAAAACAGATTTGTGCTCATGCAACAGCCGAGAACACTACGCACACAGGGTGGTAACAAGCCTACACAACGCCCAAAAGGCTTGTTCAGATTCATTCCCAGACTAATTCTACCGTACAAGTCACAGACACAAAAACTCTACCTGGTAGGCATGATTCAAGAATCTCAGAGACATGGAAGCCATTGATATTGATACTCTTTGGCAAGAATGTGCTGTTGCTTGGTTTCTAAAATGGCACAGGGTTCAATTTCAAGGCGACTTGCCTCACCCCTTGCAGCTGGAAGATGAGTAAGACAGCACATTGGTACTAGAAAATGAGGTAAAGGATTTGGACTGGCTTCCAGATCCCAAGCCAGGCAACGGGATGGGGAGGTAGGCCAGTAAAAACATAATGGCTTACAATCAGAGCTTTTGCTCGTCTCCATCTGGAGGCAATTTTTTGGCAAAGAAATCAAAAGCCCAAAAGGAAAATATTTCAGCATTTTTCTTGTCCCTCTGACTCCATGCCTGTCTCCTCTATTTTCCCCCAAGGAAAGAAAGCTCTCTGATGCTCAACTTTTCCTAGCAGTAGACCAAGAAGGATGCCAAGTCCATTGCTACCAGCATAGCTCATCAAAAAGACGAGAAATGCTTCAACATCAATCAATTTGGAGCAGAAAATCTCAATCTCTAGAATTCAGATATATGCCCAAACAATCAGTGTTGCTCTTATTCCAGGCATTTATCTGCAAGTATAAAAAAGAGATCAAAATCACAGTTCAGGCCAGCCAAAGAGAGTTATCAAGGAATGTGCTCTATGATCTTAGTTAAATCGGGCTACTATAATCTTCAATTCTTAAGGGTGAGTTTTTCCCCTCAGTGTCTATATTTTTAAGACATAGTAACAAGACCATTCTCTTCAGAAAAGATAATTCAGAAAATAATCTTTAACTGCAATGTTTTACTTAAAGTTAGCTATCTTGGCTATTTAAGAGATAAACAATGGTGGAACTGCTGATGAGTTTTACAGATTCAAGTTCTCACATGCTCAATTCTCTTTTAAAAGGCAACATGTTGCTTCAAAGTCCCACCTGATCAGGGGACACCAAATCTGCAGCTGTTTCCACTAAAGACTGGCACCTCTAGGCCAGGTTTAAACTTCAGAACAATAAAACATGAAAGGTATGTCTTACAATAAAAACAAACCAACACAGAATAGAGAAGAGTTTCTCTGCCTTTGGCCACTTTTATTTGTTGTGGCATGACAAGCTCTTTTGGAGGAAAAAAGCCAAAGGAAAAAGTACAAAGCATTTTTCACCTTCCCTGGAAGCAAATATTTAACTATGAATACAGTTTATATAACTTTGCCTCCCCTAACTCAAGCCTGTTCTCAAAAGTCCATGCTGTCTGAAATGACAAATGACGCTAAAGTGAAGAAATGCCTGATTATAGGTACACATCTTCCTTATAGCAAAGTCCAGTTATGGGAGGTGGGGATGGGGGAGGTGAGAAGGGTCAAAAAACCACAACAGAGGAGTCTTATGGAATTGACATTAGGCACAGAATCCACGCTCTGAAACCATTTCTTTTGGAGAGGAAAAAGAATTGGCACATAATCTTTCAAAAAGAAATTACTTCAAATCAATCTAACCATGCAATTTAATGCATGCTTAGTGCTCAAAAGGACATCATAAAACTGGCTGGTAGAAAAACACATTTTTAGGAAGGAGCAATTCCTCAACAGTTAACCTGATACTACTTTAATAACAAAAAGCACAGAACTCTATTACCACCAACTTGTAAATAGCATATTGCCTTAACTCATGCCTAGGTGGATTTCACAACACATTTAAAAGCATAACAACCAACAGAGGTACACTAGTGTACACCTTAAGCCACCTTTTGGTAAGGGGGGAAATAATGTTGATGGCCACTAGCTATGAACAATTCCTAGTTATTCAATGCAACCTTATTTTACATTGAGAAATCTTTGCTCCTACCATGACACCAATCATGAAGCTCTATTACTTCACTGCAAATAAGAAGAAGCAAATGTAATGTAAAAGGCTATATAATCTGGCTGTAGTCTTGGGGTATAAATGTATATTGGATGTTAGTCCCCAAACAGAACAAGCTGGAGCAATACGTGCTCCTGTGGAATCAACTTTGCAAAAGTTGCAATTGTCAATGGACATTCAATGAAGGAAGAACAACTCATTCTTTAGAGAGGAACAGAAAAAAAAAATCATGCAGAAATTCACCTTGAAACACTTCTATTAAAGACTATAGGTGGGGGGAAGATGGTAGATTCATTTATCAATAATTTACTATATGACAATTACTAAGACTTCACTCCAGCTTACATTTAACATTTTAAACAAAGCCCCTCTACTCATAAGCCTAAGGCAAAGTTATCAGCACTAAATTTTAATCTACATCTAAAATGGCAAAGCAACTTCAT